AGCCCATATAATTCACAGTGGGAAAGGGACATGTATCAACAAATTACTTGGGAAGAGCAGACTTTGGTGAGGCAAATGGGACCAGTACCCCAGCCTGCCCTTTGGTAGAAGGTAGTTTCTACAAAATGCTGTCCCAGTGGTACCTCACGCCACTGGGTGTGTGGACAGAGGTGGAGCAGGAGTAAATATGGGAGGAACAGCAGAGAAATGGTGATGACAATCATGGTGGCATCCTTTTCTAAACAGGATGAGGAGCTCATAGTTTGCTTTCATGGCATCTGCTAACACTGCCTAAATGGTAACCCTGATAGCAGATTACAAATCCTTCAAAATTTGACATGTATCTGAATTATTTTATGTATTTTCAATGGGGAAAAATAACCATTTTCTTGGCTGATTGTCCTGGATTTAGCAGTAGCAGTCAATTTTTCTCCTTCATGGTAGCTGGTGCAGCGCTGTGTTTTGGCTTCCAGCCTGGGAATGGTGCTGGTGATACCGATGTTTTCGGTTGTTGCTAAGTGATGTTTACCCTGACCAAGGACTTTGTGAGGCTCATGCTCTGCCAGGGAGGAGGGGAAGCTGTGAGGAAGCAGAGACGGGGCGCCTGACCCAGGCTAGCCAAGGAGGTATTCCATACCACAGCACGTCATGCCTGGGGTGGGGGGTAACTGGGAGTTACCCGGAAGGACACGGGGGCTTCCGGGTGGGACTCGTTTCTTGGCCGGTGGTATCGTATTCTCTTCCCTTGTTATTTTCTCTTATCATTGTTGTCGTTGGTGGTAGCAGTGGTGATTTGTGTTGTACATTGGTTGCTGGACTGTTCTTGTCTCAACCCGTGGGAGTTGCACTCTTTCGATCCTCCTCCCCGTTCCTCCGGGAGCGGGGAAGGGGAGAGACCTGGCAAGGAGGGCCTCAATTGCTTCCAGCCCAGCCCCACTCACTGGGAGTGAGTGAACAAGCTGTCTGGCTAGGGTTTAAACCACGACACTGATTCAGAACCACAAACACTGGAGATGGTGAATTATCAGGAACGATGAAGCACCGTATGTAACACCTGGCTGGATACTGCCTGTTGAGTTGGAGCAGGTCTGACTCATTGGAGCTGATTTGGGAAAACCCACCCTCAATCTCAGCTGCTTGCCTTTTCCATCACGGGGTACGCAGGCATTACCAGAGGTGCCCAGGCCATCAGCTTCAGACACTCCTGAATGCAGCACTCCCTGGGCACAGGGGGAAGCTGTGGGTGTGGTCTGTGCGGTCCTTTGGTGGGGGCTTCATTTGGAGCCCATCTGTGTTAGGCGCAGGGCAGCTCTCCAGGGCAGTGGGGACATGTGGCTGTCACAGCTCTGCCCATCCCACATGATGAGGCACTTCACCTGCAGTGGAGCAACCCCTTTGGAGAGCAGACCCTGTGTCATTCGCCTCATCTCCTACACCATTAACTCCTTCATCCTCCTCCTCCGTATTAATTCTGAAGCTGCTCTAGCTGTCACATCTGCACACTTACCAGCTGGTTTCCTGGCTTAATTGCCCTCAGAGGGCTTCTTCAAGAGCCACACCTGCTTTTTTAAGGGCCTTAATTTGTCACTGTCCAAACTGGAGCAGCAAGTATCTAAAATTCAGCCCCTGTGACTGGGTTGTATTTCTTCAAATGCATGACTAATTGCTGGGCCTTTGCATTCAGCTATTTCTGTGTAAAACAGAGCCTGTCTTTTGCTGGAAAGTGCCCCACATCATGGATATTAAACATCATCTTGTCAGTGGGATTTGCATTTGTCCATCCCATTTGTTCTTGCAGAAAGAGGCTGTATGAAACAAGGAAAACTCAGGGCTCTCCAGAGTTCATTCTGTTTAAAGGGAAAAAAAATATTTTTCTTTGGCAAAACTGTTTTTGGGGGTGTTCCAGGTCATCCCATCCAGCCCCTGCAGCAGTGTTGCATAATCCAGCTCATAAAGTGCTTGAACTCTGTCTTAAAAGACATTAAGGTTTTATTCTGTCCTCCTTCACAGCTGCTATGGGAAGTCTTGCCACCAAAAGCCTACCAATAAGGGTGAAGACATGGATGGAGTAGCAAGGGAGAGAGATTTATGGGTGGGTGGATGGATGGATGGAGGGAGGGAGGGAGGGAGAGAGGGATGGACACATGGGTGGATAGAGGGATGGAGGGAAGGATACATAGGCACAGATAAGCACTTTTAATAAATTAATCTTGAATTTGAGAGAGCCTCCCTCTGCCCAGGGGTCATGTAGAGGGGGGCTCCTCTCAGAAATCAGAAGCAGGTCGTTCCTGAGTCACTTTGTATGGCCATGGCCTGCAGGGGCAAAACTACACTGCGCAGGGGACCACAAAGCAGTGGTTGGCAGTGCACTGATTATTTTAGCGGTTTAGGATGAGCAGCACATTGACCACTGAAAAAAGGCTGGAACTGCCTGTTTTGAACATGTGCCTGGGACCCTTCAACGTGGGACACAGGGGCAGCTCCTGCGCATGCCCTGGTGCCCCTGCTTCCCAAAGGCTGCTAGAGTTCTGATATTAAAATGCCTCATTTTCTGCAGTCAAGGGAGAAATGAAATGAGCTCCCCAGAGCTCAGCTAAGCTCTGATCCATGGGGCTGGTGCAGTGAATGGGCACCATGCCTCCCCCACCACAGCTCGCTCCTCAGCCCACCTCACTGTTTCATTGCTGTCTTTCATTGCTTTAATGAGAGTCCCCCTGTGCTGATGAGAGCTCAGAGTCCTCCTGGGCAGCACTGCTGGGACTGCCTAACACAAGCGTGCCATGTTTAACCTAGAGCAAAGCTGTCAGTGAGAGCAAGTAACAAAGCAAGGAGCTGTGTCACTCATCCCTGCTGCACCCTGCTCCCCCCTCCTGCACTGCTTTGTTTCCCACTAGTGGGGTCAGGGTTTAATAACAACACAAACAGCTGTACATGCAGCCCAAGTCCTCTGCATTTGGAAGTATATCCAGCTGATTCTTGTCAAGGATCATTAAGGGCCACGTAAACACCCATGTCTCCCTGAGGTTGGTCTTCTTCCTATTGAACTCAAAGCAGAAGCAAGTTCACTCAGGAAACTACATGGAGTCAGCAGGTCAGCAGGTTTGGTGTGGTGGGGTTTGGTGCTGTGGCAGGAGGAATCAGCTATAGAATAAAGGGTAACAGAAAGAGAATTGGGAGGGGGAAGAGAATAGCAATGAGAAACACAGAGTGAAGGAAAAGTTCTGATTGTTACTTTGCTCGCTTCAGTTCTCCCACCTAAAATGTACTGATTTTTCCCAGCTCTGCCTATTTAAATCACCCCATTTTTTTCTGCAGGGAAGCTGCTTTCCTCTCCCCTTCTCTGCTCCAAGGTATTCCCAGACCTGGCAGACCCTGAGCTCTGCACTGGTAAATGAGGGCTCTTTCCTTCCGTCTCCCCCAGCCATCCCAGTCCCGATGTAGGAGACTGCACTCCTTGCAGTGCTGCTGCTGATGGATGTCTTCCGCTCCAGAGTGGGAGCTTATCAGCAGGTCCAGTGGATGACACTTCCCAGACAGCAGGGAACCCAGTCAGAGCAGTGGAAACGGGCAGCCTCATCAGGTGGTGGTGGTGTGGCTTCAAAGGAAGCCACTAAATGGGTGCTAGGCAGGAATAATTGGAGACCAGGCAGTGATGGGCAGCCTGCAGTGATTTCCTGATGGAGCTGGGCTGGTAGAGCAGAAACAGTGCTGCTGATACAGACTTGCCAGATTTGGGATAACGTTATGCTGGTTTGCAAGTCCATAGAGACTTCCGTATAATTCAGATTTTATCAGACTGATCTATACAGCTGTAAACACCTGTACAAAGCTTGGGAATTATGGTGTCCAGACAACTGCCATTCTGAAATGCTCTTATTCTTGAGCACTCCTCAATAGCCTTCCCTTAACATAAGAATGTTTCAGTCCCTACACAAAACACATTTTTCCATGGAGATGAAAGTTGCCTTTTAAAGCAGCTATTAAAGACTCATTATGCTCAAATAGAGGGTTTCAAACTTTTCCCTTCATTAGGCCTTGTTTTCTTAACAAAATCCTGTTGGATTTGCAGCCTCCTGCCTGCTCTGCACAGCCCTACAGGGAAAAAGAGGAGGAGATGTTAGATGGAGCTTAGCTTTTCCAGCCCCTTTCACTTCCCAGAGCTCATGTGGTATGCATTTCACCCTGAGGTGGGGAGTTTTGACTTCTGCTGAGCAATTAGGAGATAAGGAAGGTGGCCAGCACCACAGGATCTTCTAACTCACCCCTTAGTTGTGAGGTCCTGGTACTTGCATCCCATTTAGGTGAGAAATTGTCATTTTTGGAACTGCTATGGGCAGCCAAGACAGATTCTCATGCTGTCCCCATGCAGGTGGTCCCTCAGCACCCTCCTGCTTGTGTGACCCATGTTCATTGGACACAAGGGGAGCATCTCTGGACAAACATAGGCAGTGCTGCCAGTTCAAAGGGAGTCCTGCTGTGAATTAAAGGGCTTACTAGTATACCTGCACTGCTTCTCCTCCATCATCCCCTCACTGCCCATGTGGTCAATTAATGTAAGGAAGACAAGATAAATCATAAATCCCAATGAGTAGATCTGGAGACTTGTTTCTATTAGGTCAGTCTCTTCCATGAACACTGTTGTTAGTTTGTGGAGCTTAAAGAGGGATTAGAGCCCCTTGTCCTTGAGGCCCTTGGTGTTGGTTTTTGAGGCCTTGCTGCCATTTGCACCATCCCATGCTGGGAAGTGGGGTCTACCATGAAGACTCTGGAAAGCCTTAATCAACTGAACCCTGGTACAATGCACCCGGCTTCTGTGCAAGCAGCTGATGTGATGGTGGGCTTGGAGAAGTGGGTCTGGAGAGAGCATCCTGGGCTCACTTCTATTCTAAGGAGAAAAGGTTTGTTGTGTCCATTTGCTAATGTGAATTACATGTCCCTGGGCGATGTTCAACAGGTTAAATATTGAAATGCATCTGGAAAAAAGGACTCTGTATACAAGCTACAGTATCTCCTGTGATGTTTTTAATGTCCCTAATTTACATCTGACAGCTTTGCCATTTCTAAACAATGTTATCATTTATCTTTCTGATGATTAATCAGCACAAGCTTCAAACACTGTTTATCACACTTTGATGCAGCAATCAAACCAGAAAGGCAAGGCATTATGGGAATGTCTTTTTCTTCCCCCAAACCTTACAGCATTTACAAAAAGGTGCACATTTTCCCCAACACCATTCTTAGAATTATTCACTCATTCACAATCAGTCATTGTATAAAAACATCATTCAGAAATAGGTTTTAAAATACACCGTCCTCCTTTGCATAGTATACAGAAAAATAGGCAAGAGTCAAAACATGTGATTTTGGAATGAGAATGCGAACTGATTCAGAGGTACAACGCTTCCCAGGAAGAAAGATGCACTTCTCAAAAATAATCATCTGTAGCTCTCCTGAAGCTAATGAGCTTCTTTCTTGCAGGTCTGCCACCAAATCCCCCTTTTGCCGTACACACAATGCTTTCATTAAGGTCAAACAAGTCATATTGCAATTAGATTTACTCTGCGGTACTTGCATATGGACACAGACCAAAATGATCAGTCACAAAAATAAGTTACACAAAGTACTCACGAGGGTCAGTGTTGGTTCCATGCGTCATGTTCCAATCCTGGAACAACTCGATGGACCTTATTTGTTATTTCCAATTCCTGTTGGTATAATTGAGAAGTTGGATATACCCCTATCATTTTAGGGTCTTTTCTTCTGTAAGAAGACCTTGGGTTCTGCTCACTATAGAGTTAAAATGGCAGGCTGTGGGGGGATTAGCAGGCACTGGCTGCAACCTGTTGATTTTTGAACAAAACTTGGTGATTTAGTCATTTGGTTTCTTGTATACTGATATTTTTTTCACTTTAAAAATACGCTCCAACAAATTCATCGAGCCTGGACCATTAAAGAGCAACAGGGAACTCTGAACAATAGGTGCTTGTTTTACAGCTACTGCAAATGCTTCGAAAGCACTAAATTGCCTTTTATACTCAACAATCTAATAACAAAGACTGATTTTCTCCCTTTTTCTTCTCCCAATTGATTTGATGGCTCACTTGAGCTTTAAAGACACATTACATAAATCCTTATGGCCATTACAGTGTCTTTTGTCAAGTTTAATTTGGTGTTTGGTTTTTTTTCTGCCGTGTAATCACTCACCCTTAAATGCAGTGTACCACATGCACACACATGGATCATGCTTGACTCTGGATCCACAGGAATAGTAAGTCCTAGAGGTTTATTTTGCATGGGGAGGGACCTAAATCCTTCCAAAGGCAGTTTGTCATGGAAAGCTCCTGGTTCAGAGGTATATCAGAACAAGCGCTGAGCACTCCCAAAGGCACCACCAACAATAGCTCTATCCTTTCCTCTATTTAACATTGCTGTTATGACTTTGTTTGGGCTTGATAGCCCGTGGTGGAAATATTAGCTAGGATTAACTGAGAGGGTGGGAGATCCATCAGTACAGGCCTCTCTCCCTGCCGCAGGTTAGAGGAGAATGTGCTGCTCACCAGGCAGCAGTGGAGAGAGCAGTAAATGTTGAAAAGCCTTCAGGTACAACTAGGTACAAACCCCCAAACCTGAGCAGATGATATCTTCACCAGGAGAGGCAGAGATGCTGTTAATTGCCAGGATTCCTCATCCTTCTTTCTCCTGACCCCTGTGTGTCCCAGTGACTTTTCACCGTCCTACTGGTTTTGAAGTGGAGGATTTCAATCACTCTCCCCTTTCCCAGCCCTCCCTGCTCCCGTGGTCCATGAGGAAAGCCTGACCCTGGAGGTGTGCAGGGCCAGGCCTCACTTTGTGGAAAATGAAGAAAGAGAGGCTGAGAGAAGCAGGATGCTCTGGCTGCTCTCCCACCGACCACCTCTCTCAGTGTTACGGTCACTCAGCAAAGCTCTTTGAAGAACAGCTTGGTATAGACAGGGCTTGGCATTGTAAGAAGTTGGGGCTGTGCTGGTGAGGGAGCTGGAGGTGAAGGAGTGAATCGGAAAGAACCCAGTTAAATGCACAGAGGTCTATCTCCACCCTGAGCTGCCCGGCACTGGGGGCCAGGGTGAGCCTCCCAGTTGCTGGGTTAAGATGTGTTTGGTGCTTAGAGGTCCCCACGTGCACCCACCAGAAATTTTGTGGGTTCTGCTGCTGTTGCCAGTGCTGTAAATCTGGAGTAGCAGCACCGACTTCCCTGGCTGCGTTTGGAGCAGCACGGAACCTGGCTTCATGTTATACCCGCTGTAAAGGCAAGACGGGTCAGATTCACGCCTGGTGGAGCAGTGGGAGGCAGCACTCTATTAATGAAGCTATTATTCGAATGAAGAAGAAAAGAGAGGGGTGGCGCGGCTGGTGACATGGTGGCACTGCTGGGGGTCACAGTAAGGAGATCCGCACAGCCAGCAGGGGCAGTAGAGCTGGCAGTAGGGCGCAGCAGCTGCGCGGGGCCAGCGGTGCCAAGGGGGCCGTGTTTCGGAGCATGCATTCCACCCTGGACCAGGAGCCATTGTTGGGCAGCGGCTGTATCCCTGCCAGGCTGCACATGATGTTGTAAACATCCACGGATCTGATGGGAGGTGCTCGGTAGTTGGATCGGAAATCTGCAGGGAAACAGGCAAACGAGAGGAGTTGGCATCATACGGCTTGGGGCTCAGCTCCTGAAATGTGGGGTGCTGTGGAGCAAGGGCAGGCTGGGATGTGGCATGCTATACAATTTATAACATAGCCCAACAAAATCATTCTGAATGTTTATATTCATTATTTTTACTTCTAGTCCAATTTTGGTCTAAAAACTTAAAAAACCTTAAAAAATTATTAATTACAGGAGCCACTTTACTGTGTGTGCTTTGTAGATTTAATAGCCTGCAATAATTGCATTGTACATTCTGCTTTGCTTTTGCTCCTGTCTGCAGCTGTAGCCTGGTGCTCAGCAGTGTTTAAAGGGCCTGATGAAATGGAAACCAGGGGTTTTGTGTCAGCCCATCAGACAGGTGAGTGAGGGATGTTGTGGCCTTCCCAAAGAAAGGGCTCTGTGTTAGTGAGTGTGAATCCACCAACAAAAGGAGAACAAATGTGTTTCAAATAGAATTAAAAATGCAGGCTAAAATTTAGGCAAATAGGGCAAGGGGATAAAGTTACTGTGCTGGGAGGGGGGGATGTCAGAGAGGGGCTGATCAAATCCCTTCACATCCCTCTGCCTTGTTCCTCTAGCTATGAAACAGACACAGAACTAGGAGCCTGCCTGTTATCCAGCCATAGTGGGGAAATCCTGCCATCTATTTGTAATTCTGGGGCATCGCAGAGTGCCACATCGAGGTCCTGACATGCCAGGAGCTGCAGGGATACTGCGTCAGGGCCATGGGGCTGTTGGGGAGCAGGACACTGGGGATGGCAGCACTGTACCTGGCCCATATGCAAGGAAGAACCCTCTCATGTCCATGAGCTCGTTGTCGTAGCCGTGCCAGCCGTTCTGCCAGGCCTCCTTCCTCCCCGTCCCGTTCTCCCAGAAGGGGAGCTTGTCCCTGCTCTGGACAACGACAGCAGAGCACAGTTAGTGCCTGTCTCCTGGGCTGTGTGTGGGGTGCTGTGTGGTGCCATACTGCGTCCCCATTTGCTGTACCACCCCACCAGCCCCCTCCTGCTCTGCCGCCTCAGCCAGTAGCCCATCTCCCAGCTGAGCAGGGAGGACAACTTTCTGCCTCTCACTCATCTGAAGTTCTGCTGTGAGCACAAAGTATCACAGCCGTGTGTGACACGTTTAAGCATGGTGGTGTCCCTCTCCCACTGCATGCTAGCATGGACTGACGGTGTGTTGTTCTGCCCAACATGCCATTGGCAACATAGAAAAAAGAGCCATTTTTGCTCCATTTGGCTAGTCAGCCTAAACAATACAATATCACCCCTGCTATATACTTTCTAATGATTATTACTTCTTCTCCCTGCTTGTTTTAGTATTAAAGCATTAAAGGTTCCTTCCAGGGAACACAGGCTCCGTCCCCTCTCCTTGGCATACACCACTCTGTTTTCTCTCCCTGCTCAGTGCATCCATGCTTTACTAATTTGTCATCATAATTCTCATTCTTCCTTGTCCATATTGCACTTAACTCACACTTTTAAATTCCTTCCTTAATTTCTTCTGCTTTGTATTAGCAGCTCTTACCAGACTACCTACAGCAGTGCATAGGGGCTGCCCAAAATGCTGGACCAACGCTCTCCGTGAGTTTCTCTTGCCCCATGCTCCCTAGGGCTGGCAGCCAATGTGACACTACAGATAACCCCAGAACTTAGACAAAAACATGAGCTGTCAGTTCATTAGACCTCTGGCATTAATTTGTCCAGTCACTACAGAAAAGGAGCTACAGTTCCCTAAGCAGCCAGGTCTGGGCTTCACACTCCATCATGAAAGCACAGAAGATGCCCTAGCAGAGTCTCCCACATTCCCATGAGTGGTACGAGTGTTGCTGCAGCCCCTGCAGATAGTGAAGCAGATTGACCAAGGATCCCTTTCCTTTTGCAAACATTTATTTTGCCTGATTCTCATTTTCCTCCTCTTCCCAAGTGCAGGAGCACTGAGGACAGCAGTGATTATCACATTATGGCTATGAGGTGTAGATCTTCCAACTGTTTTCCCGGGGACCCCCTGACTATCCTCTGCATTTCTTTGTACATAACAGTCCGCAGATGTACCAGATAATTAAACAATACTAGGTGACAAATTAAATGTCTTTCCTTGTCCCCATCTATTTCACTGATAACACTCAGAGCAAGCCAAGGAGAAAATAGACTCCTTCCCCTCTTCCTACCATAGCACCTCCTTACACTGCAGCTCTGCTTACTGTGGTTCCTGGGGACTAATTGTCACTGAGCTGCTCACCATCAGGCAACCTGTACTGCTTTTGTTAGCAACAACTCCACACAAGCCAAGTCACCTCTAACTTGTGGTGTTTCTTTGGCAGTATCACGACATTGCTGAGCCTACACCCCTCCATGGTCCTGTCAGGTGTCATGGGCTCAGCTGCTCCTCCAGGGATGTCAAGTGCAGGAGGCAGTGTGCCTTCCCATCGCCCACCAAGACACCAGGAGATACCTGCTCACAGCTAGATGTGCAGTCACAGCCGCTGCAGTTACTTTTGCTGCCAGCTGGATGAGAAAAAACACAGTACCTTCTTTCACAGCTGCAGCTGAAGTAGGAGCTCATGAAATGGAGCCATTAGCAGCAGTAGCTTGAGGGAAAGGGCTCTGCAAGCATCTCAGTGCTGCCCTTCTAGCGCATCAGGCTCTAGAAGCCTTATAGCAAACCCCACAAAGCCCTGAGGCTTCTTTGGGGCCAGGGCACTGGCAGCACTCTGACATGCCTGCTTTGGCAAGCCCACTGGGACCAAGGACTCAACTTCGTGACTTTTCGGACTCAGCCCAAGCGTGGTATAGCGTTGCTCCTCAAGAATGAAGCAGGCATGTCTGGGACTGTCAATAATGGACTTTCCCCTGCATGTGCAAGTTTAGAAGCTCTATAGCAACTGTTCCCTAAAACTTGGGAAGTACACTGGGATGTATGCAGGGTGAGCACGCAGCCCTAAGGATTAAAGCCATTGTTGCGTGCAGGAGAGCAGCTGGGGAACATTCTGCTCAAAGGATGGGGACCTGTCACTCACGTGGAGATATTGAGATAATGTTAGCAGACCAGCTTCCATACAACTGGAGGTTCATAAAATCCCTCCTCATCCTGCTTTAACCAAAATGCGGATGGCTTTGTTCCTATGCTCCTTGCTGGAAAAAATCCCAACAAAACATGGATCTTTCAGACACATTCCTCCTCCTTCCCTCCCACCCCCACCCCTCCAAATTCCCCTTTTTCAAACAGCTTATAGCTATCCACTATCCAACAGAGTAAAACACCCCATGAGCATGATAAGGAAGAGCTAAACATCCTCTCTGCAGGGGTTTGGGCAGAAAGTATAATAGAAGGCTCAATTATTGCTTTAAAAACATGACAGGAAACTTTCATTTTCACTCCCATTCACAGATAATGAAAATGTACTGAGGAGAAGGAAAATCTGACAGCATTAATGAGAGGACATTCTCGAAAATCAGAAACAATGGGAAGGAATGGGCAGAGAGACAGAAATAATTACCACGGCAGCAGTGTTTGCTGCACTGTTATTAAGGTTTGTCACAGTTTCAATGATATTTTTTAAAGTGCCTTTCTTTTTTTCCACAGAATATGTAAAAATGTTCTGGGTTGAGTTTGATACAAAAGGGTTGAGTTGCAATTTTTTAAAGTTGTTTTGGCAAAAATGTTTCAGATTCCTGCTTCAGGTGCCTGGATCTGAACTCCAGCTTTTATACATATATTTTCTTTTTAACCAGAAATGGGTTTTAACCAGAAATGTACTCAAAAGCAGTTGGAGTTTCTTAGAGGCACATTTGTATCCAGCTGTAGGAATTATTACCCTAAAGTCAGGTTAGATAGTGAGAAATGTGGTGGTGTGGGTCATCTTGAGCAAAGCCTGGTGAGCAGTAGCTCTGAGGGTCATGAGAGAAGATGCTCAACTGAGTTACAGTGATCTGCAAGGCAGTGACTACACTGGGGCAGTGTAAAAACCCAGGACTCCTTGGTTCTGTCACCACCTTACAGACTTAATGCATGGCTTTGGTCAAATCACTCAGTACTGCTTCTCACTTTACCCACTTGGAAGCTATGTAAGCTGCCTCACCTCTGAGCTGAGATGCTGTTAATAGCTGTAATGTGGAGATGATCAGTGGTGATACAAGGACAAAATAATAATGACAATACTTATAGTAACAACATAAGTTGTTATGAAAAATCTCTTCTCGTGTGCTTAGCAAGCTACCAGATTGCAGTGTGTGCACTGAGCATCTCTAAGGAGTAAATCCCCAGTCTGACCCTTTTGAGACTGGAGGACATGGGAGAAATGAGGTATTTTTTAGGACAGGATCTGGTGGGTGGGAAGCCAGGCAGAAGCAAAAGTTGCCACAAAGTACAGTTGAATAGAGGGACAGCAAGGTCTTGAAATGGAAACAACCTTTTTCTGTCTAAGGTGAAGGCAGGTAGGCAGGAGGAAGAGAAGTAAAGCAATGAAACTGGAATGGGAAACAAACTCCTCCTGTTTTATAACAATGCAGAAAAAAGAACCACCTTGACTATTTAACTTTGCCTACCATCAGCATAGCTGCTGTGCCTTTAGGCTCTTGTGAGCACACTGCAATATTTGACATCAGTTTTGTAGTCAGCCCAAGTGAAGGATGTAACACTTGGAATCGTTACGTTTTTCTGATTGTTTTCATATATATCGCACCTTTCCACATTCATGTATAAGTATTTTGCTTCTCTATTTTACCTCTACTATGAACCATCCCTTCTCAGCCACGAGAGTCAGAGGAGACACAAATTTTCCTTTTTTATAGAAAAACCGGTCTGGAATATCCTGTACGTTATAAACGTTCATGTGTTCCACACCTTTCAACTTCTGATATATCTGCAAAGAAAACAAATGTTAGGACACCTCATGGCTGTAAAGAACATATACACACCTATGGGTACCTGGAAACACCTAAATTTGTAAAATGGCTGAGCTCCTTTAATGGCACATTCAAACTGGGCCTTTGCTGATCCAAAGATGATGACTGTGCAAAACCTGTATGTGTGGTTTAGCAGGTTCTCAAAACTTGGATCATAAACACATAGGAATGCATGACTTCAGGTATTATACACATTTGTAATACATACACTCAATGAATATATGCACGTGAGTGTATCAACCTACAGATGTAGATCAGTAGAAATCAAACCATCACAGGAGACAGTAAGCTAAGTGGTGAAACATGCCCAAAAGCACTATGTGGACTGGGTACAGATGCAAAAAAGGGATGTTGGCTTTGGCCTCTGCCACCTATGCTCTCTTTGTGCTCTTGAGCAAGCAACTAATGTCATCTCACCTATGTTTCTTGCACTTAACCAGTCAATCCCTATGATACAGTGCTTAGTTACCTGCTTCATAAGGATGCTGTGAGGTTTATCAGCCAATGCCTGAGGCTTTGAAGCTGTACAATGCCCTACAAGTGGTTTATTAATATTAACCATACTGTCATGAATACAATCACACAAATGTGGACAAATTATTCAGAAAACTACTTTCAATGACTAAAGAAGATGTTCATATGCCATAAAGATGGCCATTATTGGAGTCCCCAGAATGTACATTGCTTTTTTCAAAAATATATAGACTCTTCAGGAATAAATAGCTCAATTCTGCCAAGAATGAAAGGTTCTTCACTAGCTTTTTAGCTATGTCCACTTGTGTGTATATGTGTGCAAGAGATTTGCATCGACATGTAGTTGCCACAAGGATGGCACCAGGGTGCAATGGTGCCACTCAGCCAGACCCTCCCACCATGACCTGGACTGGAGAGTGGTCCTGGTGCTTCACCAGTACTTCAAGTGCTCAGAATGGGGTGACTCTTAAAGGTGGAGGTTATGATACTATTTAATTCCTAAACGTGTATTTAAAGTAAATTAAGAATAGAGGAATCTGGCTATTGGGAAACAGAAAATCACCTTTATTTTGCTATAAAAAAAGCAACACTCCAGTAAGAAGTCCTAAAAAGAAATGAAGGAAGAAAACAAAACCATGGTGTGAGGCATTGCACTTTACTCTCCTTAGGCATATTATGCTGTTTAATGAGAGAGAAGCATGTACTTAAGAGCTTTGTCAGAAGAGACCCCATGTCTGCATGAAGTTGCAACTTGTACTTGCCCTTGCTTGAAGGTCTGGCACACAAAAACAGAGATCTCTGAGTTCAGGCTGAGGAGAGCACATATAAATGCTGCAGTCCCTTACAGGAGCACTGACTGAACTGCTTATGCACACCTCTAAGTCAGCTTTCAATTCGGGCACTAATTTGAAATGTTCAGACTATCACAGCTACGCAATTCCTGCAGAGCCTGTTTGGGAGCAAAATATAGCAAGTATTCTCTTCAAAAAAATATTGCATAAGCTACAATAGACTGGACCTGGCTAAAACATAATACAGAAAACAAAGTTATTCACCTGGAGCTTGCGCGGCCTGTTCTGTACATCCGCTTGGCCATATTCTGAGGACAGCAACAGTGACTTCTCAAGCACTGGTTTCTGGTTAAAGTGCTAGTCTATTAGTTACAGATGCTGCATTTTCATTCTTTTCAAGTGGTTTCCCAATTTTTTTCTGTGTTGTTTTAATTTGTCCCTCAAAATCCTGCAGTTCTGGCCTTGGGCTTTTATGGTTGATTCAATCCAATACACTTATTCATCAAAATTCTTCAAAGGAGAATATTGTAAAGAATTATTTTTTGCAATTCCAGACTAATGGAGTTGATTCCTCAAACTCTATGGAAGTTTACTGGAATATGAATGCCAGACCTGCTCCTGATTGTTTGGAAATCCCAGCTGGAGTGTCAATAAATCATAGAATTGTAGAATCAACTAATATATATTTAAGAAATCCTGAAAATGGATTTTGAACTAAAATCTTTTAGCTATTTATCAGCACTACATAGTGGTGGGCTTTGAAAACAGTTATCTGTGCCAAATAATGGTGAAAGTTCATGCTTTGTAATTTGCCTCGTGTGACTTCCCTTCAGAAACCAGCGTCACAAGAGTGTCACAGGACCTAAGTCTGACTCCCAGTAAGAGCCTCAGGTTGATTTTTACACACATCTCTGGGAGCAGGACTTAGATGCTGTGAGCAAACAAAAGAGACAAACATCATAAAAATCAAGGAAACACAAAACTGAGTAAATCAAAATAAGTTGCACTCACCTCCACGTGCTTCTCTGGAGCTGGCCAGAGGCTCACAACAGGACCTCTGTCCTTCATTTGTATGGTATCACTCATATTGATATAGTTTTTCAGCTCAATCACTTTGTCCACCCAGGAGATGTCTGTCATCCCGTGATCAGAGAAGAGGAGGACATTGACGTCATTCTGAAGGCCCTTGCTCTGTGAAGTGAGTGTATGACAGCCATTAAGGACAGGTTAGAGCTTCACACTGTGTCCACTGGAAAATCTTAATCCCCATTTAACCCCACTGATTTAAGGGAAGTTGGGCAGAAGGAGCACGGCCGCAAATGCCCTGCAATGTGCTTTGCTACCACCCACACTGGTGGACATTGACTCTCACTTGCTGCCCTGAAAGAGTCTGAGAGGTTAGTGCCAAAGAGAGATTTTCCAAAGTAAATCTATGCCTCTGCTAAATAACCAAGCCCTACATCCCAGCCCCACAGACTTGTTGTCCCGTTGGTCCTAGACAGGATTTTACCCAACTGTTCGTATGTAGGCCAAAACAGCTGGGGAAGAGCAACTTCATTATGGTGCTACCTGTGGCTGGAGTGTTCCTCTCTTCTCCTCCCAAGCGCAAGCACTTATCATCAGAGCTTTTATAATTTAGTGAAACTTAAAAGACATATTCCTCTCCTCACTGGAACTCCTAAAGAACTCCAGTCACTGTCAGAAGAATTCACAGAACTGATATTTGACCAAACGCTTGGCGTCCTCCCTTTCTCACTGCAGTATCATGTAGATAATGTTTTTTAAAACAAAGTTTAAAGTACAGAGTTCTGAACAGTACATAAAAACTGCTATAAAAGTTAATTGTGTGATTCCACAAACCTTAGGAAGCAAGCAGTTTTGTTTCGTTTGCCTACTATAAAGCCCAGCCAGCAACACAAGTTATAAACAGAACAACATCTATATTGGTTTACGGCTTCCTGGGGCTGTTGGTGTAATAATCCATTAGGAGGATTATAACAGCATCAATGAAAATAAAATTAGGGGAATGGTGCCTTGACATCCACATCTCTTTGGTAGCCTCTCTTTCTCAGGAATTAAAAGTTTACAGCCAACAAACCCAACTAACAGGCAGTAACTAAGCTCTTGGCCATGCCAGAAAGAGCAGGTTCAAAAGCCTTTTCCAGACTCAGCTGGGAGGTGGGTTTTCGAATGCCACTCACCTTGATGAGCGTGATCATGTTGCTCAAGGCTTTGTCCACCTCCTTCAAAGCATTCTTACGCTGCTGGGATGAAGGACCATAGTGGTGGCCTTCCACGTCAATACGCTCATAGTACACTGCGGCCATCTCTGCACTGCCATTGCTGGAGGTGGGAGGGAGGAGAAGGAGTGAGAGGCTGATGCACATGGATTGCTCCTGACTGCCAACCTTGTTGTCCTCACCACACACAGAGCTACAAAACCTTGTTTTCTGCTTCTAGCCTGTGCTTTCCTACCTGCTGTTGCACAGCTGGGCTCATTATTCCTCATAGCAGGAGACCTCATAGCAGCCTTCCAGTATCTGAAGGGGACCTACAGGGATGCTGCAGAAGGATTCTTCATAAGGGAGTGTAGTGATAGGACAAGGGGTAATGGGTTCAAACTTCAACAAGGCAGATTCAGGTAAGCCATAAGGAAGTTCTTTACTGTGAGGCTGGTGGGGCACTGGCACAGGTTGCCCAGAGAAACTGTGGCTGCTCCACCCCTGGAAGTGTTCAAGGCCAGGTTGGATGGGGCTTTGAGCAACCTGGTCTAATGGAAGGTGTCCCTGCCTGTGGCAGGGGTTTGGAGCTGGATGAGCTTTAAGGTGCCTTCCAACCCAAACCATTCTATGATTCTATTCATGCCCAGAGTCCCCTGAGTTTGCCTGAGGTCCCATCAGAGCTTCCAGGTACAGACTGTCATGTACAGCTAAAGGCTGGCCTGGCAGCCCTCTACTGCCTCTTTGAATAAGGAAGGCAGCTTTTCCTTTAAGGACAAAGAAGGACCCAGAAGAAATACTGATTTCTGTGCTGAATGACATTATTAAAAGGATTGTGGGAATTACCAGTCAAATGTGCTTTAATTAAAGTTTGGCACTTCTGTCTTTCTCCTGTGTGAGGTCTTCCAAACCACCAAGGTCAACTCAGGATGAGTATTTCCATGACCTTGCCAAGTGGTATGAACTGGGGAGAAATTTTCAGGGGTGTTTTTGTTATTAAGGGAAACTTAATTATTATTAAGGGAAGCTCAGGTAATCTCAGAGCTGCACAAATTTAGCTGATCACATGTTTCTGCACTGAATGCCTTCAGCCTAATTAGTGTGGATAGTGCGTATATCAGGGCTTAATTACATTTTCATGTCCACTTTATGGTTCACTGTAAACCTCCCTGAGAGCAATTGTGTGGATAAAATCACAAATCTACACTCATGAAGCTCAAACACTGTCTTCTTCTACTGTTATTAAGATATGACAGGGTGTGCCATCCACAATACATGCCTTCATCCAGATCAAGACCCCTACAAAAAGACTTTGTGTGATGTCCTGACAGGTCCAGATTCTCTGATTAATGTGGTGTAATGAGTGAGAAAGAAGAGAAGATATCAGAGGTGAGGGACTTAATGCATGAATTAGGGTCTGCCATTTGCATTTGTAAGTTTGCTGGAGGCCTCAGAGGAGCAGCCCTCCTGTAGGAAGCTGAAGGTCTCTGCTGTGGTGGGAATTTCTCCACTGCTGGCTCTGTAGAACAGTGTTCTGTCTCACTCTTCATGATTTTAAAATCATTCAAATGAAGCAGTCCTTCCCGGCCCCCAGCTTCATGTAGACATTACTTTCCATCTGTATTAGGCATAAATTGACTGGTAAGGTTTAACCCTGTAATTCCTCCATTACATACACACTCATTGAACCTATTGAAATAGTTTTCTTCTGCTGCAGTGCCTGTATTAATTAGCTTCTTAGGCTGCTTTGTGTATTCTCACCTGCAACTAAATGACCATTTCAGTCAAGACAGAAGATAAGAAAGACATTTACTGCATGAAACAAATGGTCTTGTTTAGGCTGCAGTGAGATTTTGCAGGCTCAGTACTGTAAGGCTGAATGTTCAACTTTGCACATGACTTCAGTGGGAGAAGCTGTAGTTATGGGGCATGCTTAGGAGTTTGCAGGATTGTGTACAGCACATCCAGAGCTTGTAAGGTTGGGTTTTTGTTTCCATGTTTTACCTGTTTTCCTAAGAAAACTAGGTATCTCTGATCAGGGCTTGCAAGGGAGAAGTAATCTGTCTTTCTAACTGCGTGTTAGTCCTGTCTTCTCCAGCCATCAGTACTTTTAGCAGAAATGGCTAAGGAAAGCTTGCTGAAGAAAGCTGGACAGCATCAATGGCGATACTGTGTGTTAGATTTTATCAACACGCTTTGCAAGTACCACACAAACTTCATAACACCTGTCCAGAAAGATAGGTAGACTACAACAGCCCTTAAATTACAGTTATGAAGAGATAAGGGAGGCTTTAGTTTTAATTGCTAGTATGGGTGCTTGACTTAGTTTTGTGTACTTTTTGTCTGCACAATGGTCTCAAAGCATCTGTTTGAAGAAACTGGTGAATATTCCTGAAGGATGGTTCTCTTTGGTTGCAAGAGGAGCTCAGTGGCCTGATGAGTTGGATACTCCTGCTCTTGCAGAGGGCATTGATAAAACTCCCTTTGACCTTGGTGAAGTTAAGATGGGCCAGGACTTTCCTGTAACCAAATTCAGGTTAACCCTTAGGCCATCAGGGTGCAAATAGTCTCTCTACCTGAAGTCCCTGTAAAGTTTGCATGGTGGGAGCATAAATGCAGTTCATTAACTACTAATACCTGCTATGAGCAAGGCAGTGCTCCAGGCGACAGACTGCCCTTGCCACAGGCTGTTTTCCCACATAGAGCTAGTGCCAGCCCCAGCCTAATGGGCTTTTTCAATTAGCTGGGGTGTGGAAAGGAAACACGCTGCATTTGCCAGCCTTTGAACAGCTTTAGGTGTCAGAACCTCTTGCAAAAGTTGTAAATGACAGTAAAATGCAGCTCAAGGTTCTTCTACCTGGAGATGCTAACTCCTGCTAAATGAATACGACTACAGTAAGGGCATTTCAGAAGCTTTTCTTATGGGCTGGCACAGCAGCATTGACAATAGTCTTCTAAATTTTAAAGGACTAAACAAAGAGGATGAATGAGAGAAAGGAAAAGGAAAACCTAGCAGATCTTTAATCGGTTCATTCTCTCCCCTCCTTTCTTATTGTATATCCCTGAAGTATTTACACCTTCAAATGATTATTCAAGAAATTCAAGAGGGATGGTGTGTAAATGGATACCAGAGACTTGACCTCCCGCAGGTCCAGGAGAATCTGTAGGACTTAGGCTGTTCGGCAGGCTGTAGCCGGTGTTTAAGGCAGGCATCGTGGTGGCAGAGATTTGCTCTTCTCTTGAATCACCAGTTTTGACCTCTTCTGAGCTGCCCCACTGGCACTGTTGTGTCCCTGCCCTTTTCTTCTTTTGCATTGAAGGAAGCAGCAAGCAGCCTTGTGACTCAGGGTGAATGAGCTATTGAAACTCTTTCAATGGGCTCCAGCAATCCAAAAGAGCAGCTTGGAGGGCTGGAGCTTTCAACAGTTTGTGCCTCACTTTTAATCGTGTTCACAATTACAGAGCTGCAAACTGTCCCAAGCAGCCTTATGCTTCATAGAAACCAGGCAGGAAACTTCAAGCATATCTTGACCCATCCCCAAATAATACCTGACCCAAAAGCTTTCTATGGTAATTCAGGTTTTCCACCAGCAGACAGAGCTGGTGTCCGTATTCAGTTTTCCATTTCCTTTTTTGGTCAGTGAATTTAAAGTGTAGCAGAAGCTCCAGAAAGCCTCCGATGGCACAGATGACCTCCTCATGTCACATGCAGATAAATTCCTTAAAATCTAAGCTAAAATCATTTCAGGGTTAAATGTTTCATGTTCTGAGACAAGCTTCAATCTAAGCCCCTGCCTGTGAATGACACTGTGATTTGTGAGCATCTGTGCAGGGGGACCCAGTGTGCAACTGGGAGCAACATCTCCTGCAGCAGTCTCATAATTTTGGAGCCTTTATTTCAAGGACAATCAGCACTCAGTATCTGAACACAGAACTTTTCAGATTCAAATCGCTATGGCTGTGCACAAGTAGTAAAGTAGAAATGTGCCCTGAGATTGGATAAATTATGAAACCAACAAGTTTTTAAAGAGGACGCTTAGTTATAGCTAATGTAAGGCACTGGCTCCACACACTTTCCCCTGATTTTGCAACCTATGTGTAATTGTCACTTGTTAATGTTTAGATGAGAGACGGTGGAATTGGAAAGCTGGGTGTGGAGCATGTTTTTCCTAGGAGTTGTCTGTCCCGTCATTCCCACCAGTTGGGCTAGATGAACACTATAGGTCCCTTCCAACTGAACTGTTCTATTCCATTTCATTTCATATCATCTTATCCTATCCTATCCTATCCTATCCTATCCTATCCTATCCTATCCTATCCTATCCTATCCTATCCTATCCTATCCTATCCTATCTTATCTTCGCCTAGCCTAGCCTAGCCTAGCCTAGCCTAGCCTATTCTATGTTCATATTTGCACAACAGGAATGCCCACTACAAAGTCACTGTGACTGAGATGTTCTAAAATGTGGAAGTAGCTTAAGTATTGAACTCTCAAATGAGTGACCAGAGCTGAATTTTGGAATTTCCAAATTCCCAGAATGTCTCTCTAAATCAAAGGATTTCAAAGTCTGCCTTTGAGGGTCAGTGAACAGATACTCACAGACTGATCTTGAAGTGGTTAGAAACAGCAAATTAAAAATAGTAAGTTGGGATGTCTCCTCTGTGTTGTAACCTACTCATGGAAACGAGCACATCTTGCCTTCCGATCTTAATGGAAGGGCCTATGTCTGTTATGGCTATGTGTCTATGACAGTGCTACAAAGCAGTCTCAGCTCCCATCTTCCTACCGGGATCTAATCCTGAACATCTCCCTAGAGCAAGGCTGATAGCAAACCCAAACACTTATCCTTGCGATCCCTACTGACATACCTCAAAGACTCAAGAGCATCGCTGATGGCATCTGCAAAGTTTTTGTCTGTGGGGACACTGAAGTACTCGCGGCAGTAGCTCGGTCTGACCCCCAGGATTTCAACCTCGCAACCTGCAATGAAAAATGTGGTAAGCTCTGCTCTTCCACCTTGACCATAGACCCCACACCGTGGGGCCCAGGTTCAGGTCTGTAAATTCCCTGTGACATTACTTACCTTACACTTTCCCTGCAGGAAACCTTGTGGTTGGAAAGGGAAAATGGGGCGAGAGGCTGGTTTGCAGCAAACCGTACATTGGATCCTTGTATTTCCCTCTCTAAAAAGAAGGTCTCTGTGTGACCTTCCCACAGAAAACTCTTGGTTCCCTCGGGGCAGACAGTTTCCACCTAAACCACTAGCTTGTTTTCCTTTTAACTACCGTGGTCACGTAGCCTCATTTCCAGGCTTCCAAAGCAATAGATTTAGATTTTGTTCCCTGAAAGTTCAGCAAATACTTTCCAGTTAGACACACTATATCTTACGTTGTAATATCCTCTATAAACTGTATTTTATTATGTGATACTGGCACTCCACTATTAAATCTGTTTCCCAGGAGGTCTTATTAAAACAGTATAAACCAATTAAGTCTCTTGGTAACTTGCAGCCTTCCTTGCAAAATGCAGTCTGTTTTGTGGCCCAGAAATTTATGGCAACAAATCCTACAGGAGAACATGGCCCTGAACACACAGAAACATGTTTTTCTGGGACTTTTTTGCCCTTTTGCTCTCCCGTTACTATGCTGCTGAATAACATTAATATTTAAATGAAATGTGTTTTCAGAAACACCAGATTCATGCAAACTATCTTTTGAGACCCCCCCGAGCCCTCCCATCACAGTTAAGGCATTTTTCTGCTGTATTCCTGGGGCACAAGCTAAAAAAAAAGAAAGAGATCTTTTGCAAAATTGACTCTGTATACATCCATGCAGTCAGATCAAAAAGGCAACTCTAAGCCATAGCCTGAATCTGCTTACATTTGGGTCCCTTTGCTTCTCCTTTGGGATGAAAGAAATAGACATTAAGGACATAAGGTCATAAGCTGACTTATTGCTTGGGAGGGGAAGAAGGTTGCACAGGAGGTGTAAGTACAGAGAAGGTGCTAGAGCAAGCAGAGCTACCTTCAGAGCTGATTTACAGTGGTTTGCTTACTCAGACACTTACTTGCACCTCGGCCTGCATGACTTCACATTACAGAGGTGCAGCACTGGGACACGGGCAAAAGCACATTGTTTGCAGGCTAAGCTGGCTAAGAGACTTCTTTCTGATTGTGACTTCCCAGGAGCACTATGAAAGGTACCTAAATGTTTAAGCTTAGGAAACCTTAAAAGATCTTCACTTATTTGCAGAAAGCCAGGTAAGACAGACCCTTTCCAAGGGATAAAGAACCCTAGCACACATGACAGATTCAGTCTCTTCACCCAGCGGTCCGTGGCAACAGTACCCAGGGCTCCACATCGTTTGTATGTTTCAAGGGACCGCATCTGTTATGATTTGTAAGAATGAATTATTTGCAATGATAACCAGAAAATGTAGTAAAATTTCTTGTAAAAACATATTTACATCTTTTTGAACCTCTATCTAATATTTGTTTTTATAAAAATTGTGGGAGTGTGTGATGGTGCTCACTTTTTGTTCTTCCCTTGTTGCCCCAAATATAAATCCTTCCTTTTCTGTATGGAGGTACGATAGTGTTTATGTCTCAACCACAAAAGCCTGCAGACTGCTAGACAAGAACTGACTCTCCACACCATCCCACAGTAGAACTATACATCCATATACAGCACCTTCAGAAAGTTATGTTGTCCAACAGAAACAGGTCCCAGGTTCTATCTAACCAAATCATCATTAAAATGTATTCCATGAACCATCTGAAATCATCTCCAGGAGAAGAAGCCTTTGCCCCCAACCCTGAGTGTGTGTAGCTTCAATCTTCTGCATGATGTCCTGGGTGCTACCTGCAGGAACACGTGGGCTTTCAGCTACCTCAGATGCGAGAGGTGATGCAGTAGTCCTCTATGGGCTTTATTTCAGGACTGAACTGGAACTTCTGAGCCAATTTCTCCTCCAACGCTTGAGTCTGGGAAAAACTTAGCTCCAAAGGCAGGCAAGAACTTAAGGAACACTTTTCAAAATGCATTGGAAACACCTAGTATTTTAGTTTGGTTGGGTGCTTGCTCATAGCCAGTGACTAATATGATGATTTTGCGTCTTTTTTTCTTTTAAGATACTTACATCATATTATAATTTTCTCAGATAACGTTCCTCAGAATTACTCATAAGATAATTTTAAGTAGAAGCATTAACCTCTTGGGGATGTGAGATATTTTAGTTGCTGAGAAATCTTTGCTATTTCTAGATTGTAAAGTGATGAGCATGACATAGAAGTCCGCAGAGACAGCAACAATTAGAAATCATTTTGGCTCCTAAATATTGGTCTTTGAGTGTGTAGTTCATTGGCAGTAACATTGAAAATTCAGGCTTCTTAGATACCAAGAACTCTGTGATGAATAGAACTTGGAATTGGATTTTTGATGTTAAGGCTTGTTACAGTTCCGTAATACTGACCATGAAGATCCTTTAGTATTTAAATTCCTTTTTGGTAGAGGCCAGGACAGGTGGTAAATTTTCTCATTTAAATATTATAAGAGAGGAAATTTAAAAATACTTGGAGCCAGACAAAGGGATTGTTAAGTTTTTCTTGATTAAACTACAAATAGATGAGCTATATTTAATAAGATGCTGCATTAGATAGCTTTCTGCACAGTTTTGTATGATGCTAGACCTTTATTTTAAAACCTGAACTACTGGAGCAAGAATAAGGACTTCTTTTGCAGTGATATATAGGCTCCTCTTTATCTATCTGACACAGAGACCTGAACCTCTGCCAACTTTAAATTGCATTTCTAAACATTGATTTAACAGTTGGACACTTCATGTCATAACAGAGGGTTTTGAAAACTTTCCAGGCTAGCTCCATGGTCTGGTAAATGTTGTGTTAAATGACAAAAGTTGCATTTAGAGACTTTCTCCCCACCCCCCTTCTTTTATTTCAGTGTTTAGAAAAGATGTCACTGCACTTCAGCTGAAGCAGTTGCATAGGCTGCTGGAGAATGAGGGAACTGGAGGGTCCTGGGTGTCATCACCCACCAGGGTGAGAATGAAGAGCACTATAAAGCTTTGACTTTGATGGTACTGCTGGGAAGCTCTTGCACTCCCCTGGGGCTTCTCTATCCACTGTAGTGGCAGTGCTTCAGACAGGCAACTTGGGCACTTCACCAGTTGTTAGCTGTGTTTTACTTCACCATCAAGCAGACAGAGGATACATGACATTTTCCCCCAGGAATGCTTTGAAAAGCAGAAAGTACGTAATAAACACCATGAAGAAAAGAGAAAAATATCCCTACAAGTGCTTATATTTTGGCAGAAGCAGTGGCTGGGACCCCTAGCATGGTAATATTTTGGCTCCTCCGCTTCTAGTGGCAGGAGAGCCCAGATGAATACTTGCCCATGAGTTGTCTTTGTTCTGTTTATGTTTGGCTCACAGAAAAAGCTGTGATGGATGGGTGTTTGCATCTGACAGCTCTCCTGCTCTGTGTCCCTGTTTGCTAGGGTCTGGATTTTCTTCTTTTAAGCACTGACTATGTGTGAGCAAGGAACATAGGGAAGAATATGAAGTAGCAGATTTTGGCTTCAGACTTTACAAAGCTTAGAACTTGGTTCTTTGAAGGAAATGGCAGTAGTGCAAGTTAACCTCGGGAATCAGCTCTCTGGCATTCACAATGCATTCCTGCTACATTTGATTGGTCTCATTTGCCTTTACCACTGATTAAAGAGAAAATAGCATCTTCCAGACTAAAGTGTAATGAATTTGGCTGTACATTGCTGTTCCTATTAAGAGTTTCCCAGACTTTTCCTGATCTGATATTTGTCTTTACTAAGCAGCAGTATATCCTCAGATTGGAAAAGATAATCACTAATAGCAGATCATAAGCAGTGCAAATGTCTATAGGACCCCTACCCACCTTGGCTATTAAGCTCTTACTTTTTTCCATGATTTTGTTTGGCATTGCTGCCCATTCAAATGCCTAGTTCAGAATTAAAGCTTTAAAATAATAGACATAGATGTTTTAGAAAGGATAACATTCTTACCATGGAACTAGAAAATAGCTCAGAACAGTCATATAGGGAAAAAGTAATAAATACTATTACATTTGGGGTGACTTCTGTTTACTCCAGTTAAACCTGGAGTCCTACTGCAGTTCAACTGCCCTGTGCTTAATTCAGCTGTTCTGCATTTCACCCTGGTTCCTGCTCTCTGCCTAACTGTGTTATGGCCAATGTGCCCTTTGAGACCATGAACACCTTTAAAATAAGCATATGCTTAAGTGTTTGCTGAACTGAGACACTGAGGACTTTGCCAAAGGTCATCTATCGCAGATAAATAATTGACAGATGTACACATCACAGTTCACAGCTAAAATACCTGATCCATGCAAAAAAATCCGCCTCTGTGTCACGAGAAAGTCAATGCATGTACTGGCAATATCAGCGCTGGGAAAAAGAAGGTTTTATTGTCCCTTGCGATTTTCTACTGGAAATAGCAGACAGATAAGTGTAAAGGTTATATATATGTCTGCAGGGATACACACATAGACCTCACATGTCTTCTCCCTGGGAGACACTGCTCAAAGGGCAACATGAAGGAGCTAGGTAAAGTCCAAAGGAATTTAATGGAAAGCAATGCTGTTCATTTGGATTTCAGTAGCTCTTTGTAGACTGTTACATCTATTCAGTACATAATTATATCTATTCAGTGCAGTTCCACTAGTAGTTAAAGATGAATAGTCTATAGAAACAGGTATTTTTGTGAATCTTTAGAAGAATTTCTACATTCTTGTATAGTTTCTATGTCCTGCTATTAGCACTGCTGTTAGGTCACTTGGGTGATCTCCAGTAAGAGGCAGCTTTCTTTTGAGGGCTGCCTTCCTCTACAGCATTGAACAGGACCATTTATCAGGGCTCCCATGGTCCATTCTGGCTGGGTTACTGCCTGCTGCTCATGCACCACAAAGGGGGCCACAAAGATGGCCCTTTGTGCCCTGCAGCTGGCGGCAGGAAGGCCTTTTTTCCCCCGCGGTGAACTAGCAAGTGTACCTGGGGTTTTTTGCCTTCCTCTGCAACACTGAGCACAGCCGCTTGCAAGGACTCCTTTGGGCTGTTGCGGCCAGGGATCTGCTGCTCCTGCTCCATGCAGGTGGCCCTCGTGCCAGGCACTGAGGGGGAGGCAGCTCTCTAGACTTCGAGGGTGACCCCAGGGTAGCCCCCAGGCGTTGCTGCTTGTCCTCCGTAGAAGTGAGCACCGATCCTTGTCAGGGCTCCCTGAGCCCTTAGGGCTTGGTTCTTGCCCACTACTCTAGCACCTCCAAGGCACCACTCCTGACCTGGTGCTTTCTGGCTCCATTGTCCTGTGCAAGCTTGGAGTGGGAATGAGCTCTGCTCTTCCCTTGGCTCCATTTCTCAGAGGGTTTTCGGCTGTGCACAGCAGCCTGTGCTTGGAAGGGCTCCAGCCTTGCTGCCCCATCAGCAGCTGCCCCATTCCAGCTCTCCCTGCTTGCAACACAAGCACTGGGATAGCGCAAGACCACTTCTCATGCATCACTGGCCAAGAAGCACAGCAGCAGAGCAAGTTCTGGGAGACAGAAGTGTGCTTGTCATTGGTACGTGTCATACTTTGGGAAATAACCACAGTACCACATACCTCTTCTTCTGCACAAGAGGGATGCAGAGTTGCTTGACAGAGTCCAGAGGAGGGCCATGACAATGATCAGAGGGCTGAAGCACCTCTCCTACGGAGACAGGCTGAGAGAACTGAGCTTGTTCAGCTTGGAGAAGAGAAGGCTCTGGGGAGACCTTAGAGCAGCTTCCAGTGCCTAAAGAGGGCCTACAAGAAATCTGGAAAGGGACCTTGTACAAGAGCATGCAGTGAGAGGACAAGGGAGAATGGCTTTAAACTGAAAGAGGGGAGATTTAGATTAGATATTAGGAAGAAACTATTTACTGTGAGGGTGGTGAGGCGCTGGCACAGGTTGCCCAGAGAGGCTGTGGATGTCCCATCCCTGGAAGTGCTCAAAGCCAGATTGGACAGGGCTTTGCACAACCTGGAAGGTGTCCCTGCCCGTGGCAGGGGGTTGGAACTGGATGATCTTCAAGGTCCCTTCCAAACCAAACCATTCCATGATTTTGTCATTCTCTATCTAGTCTGCATCTTTAGTCTTTTAGACTACCTTTGAGTCCATAAGACAATAGTGTTACGCTGAGATCCTTCTTGCTCTTCAGTACTGTAGAAACACTCTGGATGACTTTTCAGTCTTTTTCATCTTGGTATGCTCTTTCTTCCCTTTCCTAAGAACTGTGGCCTTTTTTGTGGGATGCTATTAGCTACATTGCATGGAAAGACCATGACTAGGCACACGTGCGCTGGGATGTGGAGATGAGTTGGCCGGGAGCCCATGGTGTGAGTCAGCTGCCCCAGCCCTACACACTGGCACTGGCTGTGTTCAGTGCAGCTCTTCCAACGTGTGGTCCTATAGCCTGCAGTTGCACACATGAGGATATTTGCATACTGCTTAGATAGCAGGGTTAAAAAGTCAGAAAGTTGAGAATCTGGGTACCTTGCAAAGGGTTTGGTCTGGCTGCACAGCTGCCACATTTATTTCTATTGGTATTTATTTCTATGTGGTATTTCCTTAAGGGTATAGTCCCATTTGTTAAAAAAGACTTGTTCTTATACATCCCTAGTGATTTCAGTGGTCCAATATCCAACAAATGAGGAATGGAAAGGCCAAGTCTCTTTAAATGAATAGATCAGACTCACAGCAACTGGGACCTCATCTAACTAATGATGAAGGAGGGTGTGTTCTACATGATGAATGGTGGAGGAGGGGATGCTCCACAAGCCGGTTCCTGAAGGTAATCATAGAACTGCAGAATGATCTAGGTTGGAAAAGACCTTCAAGATCATCAAGTCCAACCATTCCCCAGCACTGCCAAGGTCACCACTAACCCATTTCACCGAGGGCCAAATCTACATGGTTTTTGGACACTTCCAGGGACGGTGACTCCACCACTGCCCTGGGCAGCCTCTTCCAGTGCCTGAGCACCCTCTCAGTGAAATGTTTCCTAATATCCCATCTAAACCTCCAATGGAGGAGCTTGAGGCCGTTTCCTCTTGTCATGTGGGAGAAGAGACCAACCGCCACCTCACTGCAACCTCCTTCCAGGTAGTTGTAGAGGCTGATAAGGTCCCCCCTGGCTGCTTAGTAAAGCACTTGTAATTCTTGTCTGTATATCAGAACTGTATTAAAGAGCCATCCTACAGCGTGTTGGAGTGCTTAGATGTAAACATGCACAGTTAAGATGGTAGCAATTTTTGATGTACTAACCTGGCCAGTAGTACATGGAAACATTCTTTTTTTCTTTCATCATTGTGACCCACAAAGGCTCCGATCCATTCCACCAGAGAGGAAGCAGGCTCTCTTTATTCACACCAATGTCAAAAGATACATTTGCTTTTTGGTCCCACATGTAGTTTCCAATCATCTGATGGACCTCGCAGTGGCGACCTTTGGGGGTGGAGAAAAAGACAGCACAATCAGGTTGTTGTTCTCCAGCAGAAAGATGTCACCAGCACCAGCACTGCTACCACTGCTACATCAGCAAATCAGCTGAAAAGCTGGTTTTCCACAAACAAGCAAAACCTAGGCTAAAACATTTATATATGACTTTTATTTTGTTGTTGTATTTGTTGCTGTTTTTTGTTGTTGTTTTTTGTTTTAAATGAACACACTTTGTTCTTGCTTGTGGGGACAGCAAACATTTCACCAGACATTTTCAGCCCTTCAGCCTCATGGAGGGCCTTGGTCAACTTTATATTGCAAGAAACTAGTATATAATAGCAGAGAGACGTCTTCCACCTCTTGTCATTGTCAGAAGAGAATCTGTATTTTAAGAGCTAAGCTTCAGGTGAATTAACAAAAATAGGAAAAGAAATGTTGAAGATTGAGTTGTATGGGGAGTTCATGATTTCCATATCTTAAAAAGCAACTGCTGACGTGCGTGTGAGACACTGTCATCATTAGCTGGTGAGTCATGATACTGCAAGGATCCAGATAACAGGCTTTGATTATTGTGAGACTCAGCACAGTGATCAGACCTGAAATAACCCCGGTATGCTTGATTTAAGAAGGCATCATTTTAAGCAGAGGACTCTGTATACTTTGGGTACATGCGACCTTGAAATGGATTTTGAACTATCCTTCACTACTATGAGGTATTTCAACATTGTAAAACATTTCCTCCTCCCCAGCGGACAAAAGCAGTCTCGAGTTGTGGCAGTCACTACTTACCATATTAAACCAAACAAGCTTAATATAGGAGAAATGGTGGATTGAATGGGCAGTAATCTGTCCTCTTTTAGCCTGCCAAGTGCTTTCTTCACTGTAAGTCTCAAAAGAGCTAGTTTCAAAAGAAAGCCTCTACAGTGCATCAAAAATGCAGCCTTCCTACTGAAAGGGCAACCCCATCTCTTCAGCATCTTGAAATCCACGTGTTCCTGAGCACATATCAACCTGCTAAACTACAGGCAGGCAACTGGTGTCAGCCCGGGAAACCTGCAGGTCAGCGCTAAAGCTGTTAGGTCATGTCTTTGTACGATGTACAGTGTACTCTTCATATAGAACAACAAACTCTAGTTGTTACCAGTGTGAGCTCTGTATGGGATCTAAGGTCTGCTGTCAGTTTGTCCACCCCTTTAAGGAACAGAACAGAGATTGCAGTGTTGTTGGGATGTTTAATGAACTGTGTGCACTATTACAGAGGATAGTATTCTTCTAATCTTCACATCAGACAAGTTCATTCCTCTATGGACTCCAACTCCCTTTTTTTGTGTACTAAAGAAGATGTCCCCCATATAGGAGATGATAAGGTATCAGTTTTCATTGCAAACACTGCTGGTTCACAGGGCCAGAAGGGAATTTCAGATGAGCAGACAGACCAAAAGACGTGACTATTTAATGCTGCCTGGAGCCATTCACGTCTGCTTGCCTTGAAGCCTGTGTCCCAGAAAGACCCTGGACCTCCTTGGAATACACTGACAACCAGCTCATCAACCTCATCCTTGGGCTGCTCATCCCAATATTTATCATCAGTAACACTGTACAAAAAGTATGCCTGGTCTCTAATTTTGTTTTTGACCTTTGTTAACCTCCAACCACGGCTATTCTATACCTTGCTCCCTAGATTAAAAAGCCCTGCAATAACTGGCATTTCTGCCCCCCAGAGACACTCAGACACAGAATTAAGGTCGCTTAGCAAATTTCTTTTGGCTCACTTGTACAACTCCAGTTCTTTAAATCCCCTGTTGTAACTTATTTTCTCCAGGCTGAGAAAATGACCTTTGGTGATCTTCTTTTTAATGATTATCAAAATAGCAACCTGGTGTTAGTCACTGTAACATGTTGAATTTATTATTGCTTCCATTACTGCAGCTTTCCATGGTAATCAAACATCAAGAGTCTCAAAAGTAGAAACAGGGTAAAAAGCAATTTCAGCATACAGATATCGTCATTTAAACTCTCTGCAATTGTAGTAAAAAGCATCCCTTCCTCAAGCAACTGAGGAAAACAAAGAGGGTATGGTTTCCAGGAATGTGATAACTGCTGTATCCTTCTGGAAGAGAGCCAGCAAAAGCATTTGCAAATCTGCATGCTACAGCTTACTTGGATGCTACACTTCTTACAGCATTGGCTTTGTCCAGAGCACATTCCCATGTCTCCATGCACTTTTGTCAGCATTCAAATCAATCTATGTAAGCCAAAGATGAAATAAGAAAAAAACCCAAACCAGCAAAAAACCCAAAAAACCCATGTAGCCTCTTGGCCACCCACAATAGCAGCACAGTAACACTGAATGTTATGAACCCTACGTTGACCATATGAGCGAGTGCTTCTGTAACATTTGCTACGGGAATGACCTCTTCTTTTTTGGTGGTCTTTCACTGACTGCAGGGACACGTTGTAGGATCACTAGTAGGCATGATATATCACATAGGGACCATATACCATCCGTGCCTAAACCTACAAGAGAAAATACTCTTCTGAGACACTCAATGATCTTTTCTTAAAAAGTGAGGATGTGTGTGACAGATGCTCAGTGCTACACCTGGTGCATCAGGCAACAAAACAGAGGGAAACCATCTCTGCACTGAGCAAATCAGATTTACCAGAGAACCCACGGTGTGTATAATTAGCCAACACAGTAAAGGTACCGGCATGGTGTCCATCTGAGGATAAACATATGGGCTGTGGAAGGGTTAAGTTCCTCTACATAAACTGCTGCATGCTCTAAGGTAGGTAGGTTTTAACAGCCCAAGTGAGACATGCAGTTCCCTTTCTCCCCTCTTCCCCTCCCTACAACATCTTTCCTCTGCTATTCCCGTGAAGCATCACCTAAATGCTGACCCAGACTTGCTCATTTATCTGCTCCTCACCCCACTTCTAAACCCCCTCAAGACCTGCTGGATGACTTGCCCTGGGAAATGCTTTGCTCCTGCAGCCTGCCATGAGGAGAAAGAGAGTAGGATTTTAAAGTCACCAGCACCGTATTCGCACTTCAGAGCTGGTACGGTGGTGCTGCCGTCCCCAAGGACTGAGCCCAGCCTGCTGTGAGCAGAGCATCCTGAAGGGCCCAGCTCTGCCTGCTTTCGTATATGCCCTACTCTGCTCTTACCCTGCTGGATCTCATCTGCCTGCTTTGAAAAGGAAGACGACAATAAAAAAAAACAACAAACAAACCCCATGTGCTCATCCTTAAGTGGTCTGAAGAAGGCTAGGGCTCATGAGAATTCAGTGGGGAGTCCTGGTCTGGGCAAAGTGGCCCTGCCATCTGCAGCACCCCAAGCAAAATAGTACTTGCAAGATGTGTATGGACATTTATGTTCCCAGAAGAGGTTGCTGGCAAGTCTTTACAATTTTTTATGACCTCCAATAATACACAGATCCAAAGCAGAAACATCTTAGCCTATGTGTGTCAAGCAAGCCACTGCATCCAACTAGGATCACACCAAAAGGCACAGAAAATATTCTACTATACACAGCATTACTTTATTTTTTTCCTGAAGCAGATTCATTTAAAAAGAGCATGAAACTAATTCAGTGCTTTCATAATGGGGCTGGGGTGCACAAAAATGAAGATAGGCTGAGAAAGCTGGGGCTGTTCAGGCTGGAGAAGAGAAGGCTGCATGGAGACCTCATAGCACCCTTCCAGTATCTGAAGGGGGCCTATAGGGATGCTGGGGAGGGACTCTTCATTAGGGACTGTAGTGACAGGACGAGGGGTAACGGGTTAAAACTTAAACAGGGGAAGCTTACATTGGATATAAGGAAGAAATTCTTTCCTGTTAGGGTGGTGAGGCAGTGGAATGGGTTGCCCAGGGAGGTTGTGAATGCTCCATCCCTGGTGGTGTTCAAGGCCAGGTTGGATGAAGCCTTGGGTGAGATGGTTTAGTGTGAGGTGTCCCTCCCCAGGGCAGGGGGGTTGGAACTAGATGATGTTAAGGTCCTTTCCAACCCGAACTATTCTATGATTCTATACAGGTTAGGCTTTGCAGATGCTTACTTGTGCAGGAAAGCAGGTTTTATGTCTCTGGAGAGCAGTGCTCTGGGCTGACAGTGGGTCTACTGAACCAAGTGGCACTGGTGGGCAGAGGAATCATGCTGGGACCCCAGACTGCTTACAGCTGGGTACAGCTCAAGGGCAGCAGAGCTTCAAGCACTACAGAAGATCTGAACAAAACGGTGGGCACAGCTGCTCTCTGCACCATTAGAGAGGGTGAGAGCCTCCGGCAGTTTTCTGCTCATCAGCTGTGACTTCAGCTCTGGGCAGAGAAATACCTTGGTATGGGAATATCCACTTATTGTCCCTAACAGCTGGTAGCAGGTATGCTAGTTGTGAGCTGTGAGGCTGCAGCTAGTAAGAAGGAAAAAACACTGTGCTTCAATTTGTAGCAGATGAACTTGTGTTAGAGAAAACTTTCTGTTCTCCACTTTGAAAGTGTTTCCATTTTTTCACTGGTAGAAAGCAAACACAGATTTTTACAGCATTTTGTGTATGTGTGAAAGAGGAAAATTTTGGCACTTGGCATTGCAGCCTTTCTGCGGGCAGCAAGTAAACAAAGTGGGATGAAGAATGTGAAAATGAAACACCCTCCCAGTTCCCACTCTCTTCTCCAGCCTGTCCTTGGTAGGACAATACCCCTTCCCTGCCAGTATTACCACAGACTTTTTCATGCTCTTTTGCTTCCTGTTCTTCATGTTCTTTTCATTTCAGAAATGAAAAGCTGCTGAATCCAAGAAGAAAAAGAGACTACTGATTTTAAAACTGTATGTCACAAACAGAACCTTTTAAAGCTTTGCTGCTGCTGGCAACTGTGGTGGTTAAAAGATGAGCAAAAAGAAAGTATCTTATTCCCTCATAATGCTCTCTGCTTCCTTCTGGCTTTTTTCTTGGCTTGGATAGTGAAGTTGAGGTAGTTTCAGTTCATGTGTAGGGATAATGAATTTCCCTGTTGTACTGCTATCCCTCCATTTTTTCATACCTCAGACAAAATGCAGGCATTATTTATGTAATTAAAAACTTGCTTAACTGCTAAACAGAAACTAACAGCATCCTTTCCTGGACCAGGCTGGAGTCTGGATACTGTTAACTTGGCAGCTGAAAAGAGGCATCCAATAGAGCCATCACTAGGCTGGGCTTCCTGTGGGTACCAAGTGGACAGAGAGTGGAGACGCTGTACTGTGAGACAGGAGAGCCCTCACAGCAAACAGTGCAAAATGTACTAGTGCACGTCAGCCAAAGACCAGAGGATTCCAGGGATGGAAGCCCAAAGGACATTTGCTCCCGGAAAGCATGGAATAAATGGGGTGTGGCATACATAGGGATTTGCTGTGCTCAGGGGTAGGCAGGAGCAGTCTGGCTATATATCAGACCACAACATCATATACCAAAGCCCCTTGGGAGTCAAATATAGCAACGCTGGGAACGAGGAGTGCAGCAAGGATGGTAGAAACACAGAATATGGGTAAAACCTTCAGTCTGGCAGAGTAGACCTTGACCATCACCCATCTCTGGGACCTGTTGCCCCTCTCCCTCCTGCTGTGCAGAGAAGGCGATTGTACATGCAGGGCTGAGCCCACACCTTGGTTGCAGGAGACTGAAACATCCTTGGTTCAAACTCCTCCTCCATCCCACAAGCTTCATGGGACCTCACAGCCTCTCTGCCAGGTATTTAAGATCAGCTCCTGTCCAAAAAGGGCCACGGAGGCCCCTCGCTGGCTCCTCTCTGAGCAGCTCCTCACTCACTGCTGTGAGCAGGGACTCCCTCTGCTTCCCATGGAGGCCAAGAGAAATACAGCTGACCAGGTGGCTGGCACATCCTCGGGGAGGACCTGCCAGAGAAGACTTCATCTGTTGTTAGGATCTTGGAAAATAAATCCTCCTGGGTTTCCAGCTCAGATGTGATGCCGCCTGCTCATGTTTATGCTGGCTGGGGCTGGAAATGTGAGAGGCCCCTGCGTACCCTGAGCTGAGGGGACTTCAGGGGAGCTGGGATGCAGGGGGTGCCCCAGCACTCCCCCAGTGCCCATGGGTTGGCAGGCGAGGAAGACCCAAACCCCTCAGTGTGAGTGGCTTTTCTTGAGAGCTATTGCATGAAGGGCTCTGGAGCAATAACTCCTGCTTGCGGCAGTTATAGGGGAGACCTCAGACTTGCCATTGAGCTTGGTATGAGAGATCCCTGCAGAACCAGGCCACGAGAGGAAAAGAGAAGAATTAAAAGCTCCCCACAGGACAACAGCCAGAGGTGGCTTGTGGTCTTAATTCCTTTCTACACAAAACAAACAGAACATGGTGTGATTAAATGAGCCTTTCGGGATACATGTATTTGGACTCCTGCTTCTCTCCCATGCCAAGCTCATGTCAAGCCCCACAAAGTTCTCTCAAATACGTGTCAGCAGCAACAGCTCCTTTTACCTAATTCACCACTTTATATCATGCCTTTCAGGTCAACAACTGCAATATCATAACTGGAGCACAGAAAGCTAGGGCAGCAGGTAGGATTCAGTCTAGCAGCTCAGAAAACAACCCAACCACCCGAGAACCAGTCCTTATGCCTCTGTGGAAGCCAAAACTGTGAAACACGGCATGAATGAAGTTGTTAGAGAAGACTGCTTTTTAAGGAGTTGGATTTTAAGCCAGTACATCCTTGGACTACCCTGCACACCACCAGATCTCCGTAACAAAACAAATTCTCCAGTTGTACATCAGCAAGATCCCTTTGCTCCAGCAGTGACTTGACTCTTGTTTAATCCTTCTAACAGCAGGTCATGTTGCATGCCCTGGCTTGCAGGGAGACTGGAGCTTCCCCCTAAGCTCTGAATCACTGGTGACTTTAAATGAAGAAGCCAAACCATTAGCATTTGTCTTGTTTTTATGCTCTGGGTTTAGTTCTTATAATTGCTGTAGATGTAGATGAAAGCCCAAGGGCAGGCGCCAGGTTTTGGGCTGAGGCTTTTTGCATCAGTCAGGGAAGCTCTAGCAAACATATTCTCGTTGGCTGACAGCAGTGGCAAGTTTAGGTAGGAGGGTGACCTATGGAGAGCTGTTCCATGGCCCTGCAGCACTGCATGACCACAGGCAAGTCACCTCCCTCCCTTTGCTTCCCCTCCAAAATTTATCCAGTTTACCTAGGTTGGGCCCTATTCCTCCCACTGTGCCTGAGTGTTGCCTAGCTTTTAGTCTCTGCAAAACAGGGTATGCTTCACATTAGCATACATCAGTGAGTTGTTTTTAGATACATGGCTCTTGGTCATCAGTTATGGTTGCATCTATTTGGTTATAGCTTTGAAAATCTTGGTAAACTTGCTATTTCTCATGAATATTAAACTCAGCTCTCTTTAAACCATCAGAGGAAATCTACGTTCTGACAGGGCTCATGAAAACAGTTGGGCACCGTCTGCCCTAGTGTGTGCAGCCATGTCTGAGGAGCAGAGTCCTCTGTCCTAGCATGTGCAGCCATGCTCACTCCTATATGAATGTGGGGCCATAATACCTTGTGAATGAGCAGAAAAAGAAGGGATCTGAGAAAGCAGTGGGATATAATGAGGGGTGGGAATGTGCACATGTGGCCATATATTTGTTAAGCTTATTTAGCTGGAAAAAAAGCCAATATACTGTGAAACCGCATTCACAAATGCTAAAATACTGCAATTTGGAGGTTAAAACTTGAGTTTCCTAACAGCTCTTTAAGCAGCAGTGTAGGACAAGACATGAAGAATAGCTTGTAGTCACCGATTTCCCACAAGAAACTGGCAGCATTTAAGTCCCACACATCCCAGTTGCAAATGGAAGCAAAAGCAGTTATAGTCATGCGTGTGTGTGTCCCACAGAAGAGATGCATGACTGCTGAGATGTGATGTTAAGCTTTCCCACACCCTTGCAGCAGCAATAGGGAGATGGTAACTTGCCAGTCCCTAAGCAGGTCACCACAGCACGATGCTCATGTCACGCTGCCATGCTGTGTTTTCTCCAAAAGCTGTCCCAGCTTTGCAAATCAAACATGCACAGGCTGAACACAGCTAATGCTATGTCTACTGTGTGCCCCACACTCCTAACCCCACCATCACCTAAAACATGACACCTCCTTTCTGTGGTGACTGCACCACAGCACTGGGGGTAAGAACAGTGCACCTATGGGATCTTCTATGCTGTCATGCCAGGACAGTGTCACAGGGTTCACTAACACCCCAAGGGCTCAAGTGCAGCCTTGGATCTTCCTTTGGACAGGGTCATCACCTAACTTGGTCCTCAGTTGGCTCCTGACCTATTTAACGCTTCTGTGATTCATATGTTAGGAAGGTGAATAGTTCTTTGCAGTTAAGTTGTATTTGCATTGACATCCTCATCACGAAGGTCAGGGGACTTGCAAGAGGAGTTGAGTTTGATCTCATAGATTGTCTCATTGCCTCAAGCTGGGGTGTGGAAACGTTGATATTCTAAAAATGTAAGAAGTCCATCAGTGGTGTTTCATCATCTAAACCAAAACTCCCCCTTTTTTGAGTACAAAATAGGATTTTTTCAAAACTCCCTGAAAGGCTGATTGCAGACTACGCTGACTACATTCTACGCACACACACTTACTAGGAGTGATGGTTAAATGTGGTAATGAGTGAAAGCAGTCACTTTTCCTCTTCCCTTTCACAACTTAATCCAAAGGCTTTTTTTACACACATGGAGTGCTAAACCTGTCTGCCTAAGTACACGTGAAGAACATGGTCTGGAGTGAAATGACATCTCTGTTTTCAATCATGACATTTGCTCTGCATTGATGGATTTGCACCAAGTCATGAAAAATCCCTGTGGTGATTTTGTACTTGATTCTGTTCAGAGATGAGCAAGAGAAAGGCATTTCTCTTGAGAGAGAGGGAGGGAGGAAGGGGTTAAGCAGTTTCAAAACAAGCTGGGCACAACTGATGTCAGATTTTTGTCTTACAATGGCATCTATTTGCTTTCCCAGCAAGCAGTATATGGACTGCTGTGCATTGTATTGTTCCAAGGACAGCAAAGATGCCACGTATCTTAGGAGAGGATGGATTTTCTCATACTTCCACATGATTGGTGAATAATTCCAGATAAATTATTATCCAGATAAAAATCCAATTGGAAACTCCAGGAAAACTTTTCTGTTTGTTTTTATTTAACTATTGTTTCCAGAGTGCCTCTGATGAAAATGGCCCAGCTATACTCTGTGCACCTTCGTAGTGTCACTGTAACCAGGTCACTCCACTTAGACTAAAAGCAAGTCAGCACCATGAAACCCATGACTACCCTCTCCAGTTTTTGAATGCTCAGGAGAGGCTTTTTGACATTTCTGAAAGCCTCTCCTGGGCATTCAAAAATACTGTAAGGGAGGAAAAGCAAAAAATCATCAGTGTTTTCCTATTTGGCTATTTCAGATTTTTACAGGTACAATTTCTTAGGGCAAAGTTAAGATAGGGACCTGTGAAAGCAGCAAGTCTGTGTAGTTTAAGAAGAAATTTAACACTGAACTTGCCAAACCAGACCTGCTGACTGAATGTAAGTTCTTTTCTTGGCCACCCTCAGTTTACATGCCTTTTTATTAACTGGAAAGGCTCTGAGCAGGCTCTGTATTACTTTTCCATGCCTTTTCCGCTTCTTTTTACATTCCATGTGCAGTAGCCCCCATCAGTGGTCCCACCAGGGAGCCCTGGATGTCTGTGCTGTTGGTGGTGGCAGCTGATAGGGACATGGCAGCACCTTGGGAGAGCAAAGGCAAACTCCAACAGTCAGCTCCAAGTGACATTTCCAAGTTCAGAGCAGGTTTCAGACAGGCACTACTGAGCTGTAATGCCACAGTGCTTTTAAACTCCCGGCTAAAAGCACCGCTTGTGATATTTTTACATTGTCTTTGGAGGAAGAAGTCACAGCGAGCTGGGAGCTCTGAGGAGCATCACAGCACAGAGATGCAAGTACTCACCCGTCATCAGCGTGTAGTAATTTGGGTAGGAGAGGCTGGGGAAGTCTGGAGTCATGTAATCCACCTTCACCCCCATGTTCACGATGTCCCGAAAGCCCGGCAGCCCCTCCAGCTCGCTGTCGTCGATGTAGTCGAAGCGAAAGCCATCGAGCAGGAACAACAGGAGCTTGCGGGGGGCCGAAGGTGCAGCGGGGGGCGGCAGGAGGGATGCGAGGGCAGCGGCCAGGAGGGCTGCGGGGAGGCGGCAGCTCCCCATGTCCGACTTGACCGGGCAGCAGAGAGGGCTCCGCAACGGCTTCGGGGCCGGGCCTGGCACTGCTTGTTCTCCCTCCCGCTTGCCACAGCCCGTGTTAAAGCTACAGCGCTGAGTGGGAGGGCACAGGTTAATGACAAGCAGATGATTAACTTCGAGCGGAGGGAAGAGTTGGATGCTTCCAGGCTGCAGAGAAAACGCTCCACAGCGATGGGGAAACACGACACAGAAATAAGTGGAGCCTCTCAGGGAGGGAGGGAGGGAGGGAGGGTAAAAGAGAGAGAATGGAGGGTAAAAAGGTGGGAGGGTCAGCAAAGGTGGGAGGGAGAAATGGAGGGAAGGAGGGAGGGATGGAGGGAGTGAGCAGTGCTGACGGTCCCACGCGTGGTGGGATCTGAGCCCCGTGGTGGGACAGCTGGGCCCCGCATCAGGGCTGTGCCTGGCAAAGCTCCTACCGAGTGAAACTGCTCACTTCACACCGAGCGTTACATCTCCAGGCATGCAGTGCACATCATGTCTTTCTGTCAGTGGCTTGTGATAGAGAGACTAAGGCAAAGCAAAGTCTGGGAGGTGGAGGGTACAAGTTGGGGTCCAGCATTTCGATGGTACAGCTGTACCACTGAGCACTGACTGAGCAAGCTCACATCTACATGGACCTGAGTCCCTGCAAAGCACCCTATCTTCCCCACTTGCTCCGTGCTGCTGTGGGACTAATCCTGCTCCCAATGCACTAGTAGAAGAATCCAGCATTAGGCAGAGCAAATGGCACATTTGTTTTCTAGATGTTGATGTTATTAAAGAGCTGGTCAGTGCCATATTTCAAATAAAAATTAAAAATGGTTTGTATTTTAGTCACAGGTCCTCACCAGGTTCTTCTCTTGCCAGCCACAAGAGCTTAACTATACCTCTAATGCAATGCCAGCAGCTGCCGTACACTATAATTACATATTAAATCACTGTACTTGAACTGTGTTTGGTTTTCCCAAATAAAAGAAGTTCATGGCTCTGTCTCACTCATCATGGGAACAGCCCTTCTCAGGTGCTTACACCTGGGGAGGTTGCAGCAGTGGCCACTACCCCAGTGTTGAATCTGAGCTTCTGCTCTTTACAAGGCTCCCGATCGCACACTGAGCGTGTCTAGTCGCTCCTTGGCAAACAGCAGGCTGATGCAAGCTCAGCAAGGTGATTTTCAGCCTCCCTTGCCCCAGATACTTATGTACCCCTGTGCAAACCCCCCTCGCATCCTGCTGTGCATTTAGCAAACTTGTATCGCATCACATCGCATCCTGCGCATTTAGCATGGCTTCATGCTGGCTGCAAGTGCCTGTGAGCCAGAGCAGGTGTCTGCAGGTCACCACTCCTGGGGTATGGCTGGACTGATGCTGTACTGCCCTTGTTCCGTGGGGCTTCCAGCTCAAGGAAGAAGATGCTATGCCAGGGGAGGGGGTGCTGGGATTTTCTGTAGGAGGGAGTCATTTCAGGCAAGTGGAAGAGGATGGAAGGGGAGCCTGCAGTCAGGCAGGGCTGCTCAGGCTCTTCGGCTGGCTATTCTTCTCAGTCAAGTTCCTCAATGTTTCCTCCCTGCCAATGGATTAAATGCATTCCTCTCTACAGCTTGCCCAGCCACTCTTTTCCTTCCTTTTTTTTTTTCCTCATGTTTGCTTTTTCCATCTCCTATCCCAGGGCACAGCACTTAAGGTGTACCCTCACAGCAGTGTTACACCTGAGACAAGGACTCAGAGCATTTCTAAGCTCCAGCTCAGGGATCTTTAGAGCCAGATAGTGACCCAGCCCTGAGCCCTTCGGGGGTTTATCCCTTTTCACATAACATTTACTTCTGGAGCCTTGCCATGCCAGTTTTCCTCACCTTGGCAACTTTAATTCTGTCTATGTTTTCACTTTTCTTACCTTGCTGGCTTTAGTTCATGTACTTTCTCACAGTGCAGCAGCAGTTTTCTCAGCAAACCAAGCCAGGGTCACACAGCTGTGCTGCACATCAGGTCACAGACAGCTGAGCCCTGGGGGCATCCGTGCAGCCCCGTGCCCAGAACAGATGGACCATGGTCCCCAGGCTGCTGGGACAATAACAGGTCCCAGAGCCACAGCCGAGCCCCTGGAGCAGATATCACCCATGGGACCCGGGCAGTACTACGGTGTTGGAGCCTGAACTCTGAAGGAGAGCACGCGGGGGAAGCCGCAGTGCTGTGTGACCCGGGCAGCGGGCAGCGTCCCAGGCTGTGCAAGGCTGCCGGTGCCCTGCCCGCGGGGACGGGGCTGCAGCTGCACACAGGGCTGGCGGGGACGTGACCGGTTGGGCAGCGTGCGGGGCAGCACGTGCTGCAGGACAGGCCTCCACGGGGACAGACACTGCTCCTCTGGCCATCTTCGGTATCCACAGAGATCTGCCTCTTCACCTGCCTCCCGAAGGGAATATGCGCATCCTCCTCTTGCTTACCCCACCAGTATGGGAGGTGGCCCTGCAGAACCTGTGCTCAAAGACAGCACTTCTACCAGTGCTTGCTGAGGATTTTCACTGTAGCAAAGACTGTGTAATGTTCTTGGAGCTGCCTGTAGCATTGTGTTGTGGCCAAGCCACTGTGTTAATTGACTGTGTACATACTTATGTTGAATGAACTCAGAAACTCAGGGTAATATGATTATATACCTCTTGGGAAACCCATGAGGACATTCACTTTGAGGTCTTGGCTTGTCCTCTAATAGGTGGCCTCTGGGCTTGTCAGAAGGGCTCAGCAGAAGCAGAAGGGATAGGACAGTTGAGGAGAGTCTACCAAGTGTTCAAGCAGGATGCCCACCTTGAAAGGATGAGCAGGTTTTTGAAGTGGTTAGGACAAGAAGCCAGGCTTCCATCATGAGATGGTACAAAGCTATGTCTTCTTATCATTTCACAGCATTAAGAAATAACACCTTTCTTTCAAGAAGGTTGCAGTCTACTGGGTGACAGCTCCTAAGGGAAAGCTCTACTTCAACCAACACAGTGACAAGGGGGGCAATTGGTGGAAGGTACCAGAGCTCAAGGTCTGCTTTTAGAGCTGGAGATTCACAGGTCTCCACTCAATAAATAACAAGAGTGTAAGGCCTCAGAGGGGTTAAAGGAGTAGTGAGCCATGTAACCATGACTCCGTACAATACCAAATTGTGTTTTGACAGACAATCCCCCTGAAGAGTGGGACTGGAGCCAAACAGTCTAGCTTGGCAGAGACAGACCCTAGCAATACATTTCATCCCTGCCAAGCAATGTTGATTTGCTTTGGTTCACATTCATTTGTAAGCACCCTGTCTGCACAAAGCCCCAGATGGCCTCAGAGACTCCAGCACAACAATATTTTGATACAAATGCTCTTACAAAAGCTATCAGAGCCTGAGCTGGTGTCCAGAGACAGCAGTCCTCACTGGTTAGCTCTAAGATCAGGTTTAGGAAGAAGCGTGCATATAGGAAAGAAAATCCTTCATCCCAATTTGTGCATGAGGAGATACCCCACTGATCCAAACTTTGTCTGAGACAAGATCCACAAAAAGATTGCTCAGGAAATCCTCTTGGCAAAAAGCAGGTTTCCAGTTTTGGAAAACTGCTTCCAGTGTCCTTGAATCTTTCTTTTTTTCCTTCAGCCTTGCACAGATCACAAATATGACAATAGAAATGCAAGATAATTCTCCAGGCTCACACTGATGGTTCAGCCTGGCCTGTCAGATGTTGCAGCTTCCCTTGTGGCTCAGCTCTATCTGTGCCATTAGGTCCAGGAGTACACACAAGAACAAAAGCTGCTATAAGTAAATTGTGGTTTCCCATTTCTCCAGTGACATAGAAAATCTAAAAGGGACACCTGTCTTTCTTTCTCTTCTGTAGGAAAAACAAGAAGGCATAACATAACTCCTGGTTGCCTTGTAATCCCTCTTCAGTTCCAGTTCTCCCTTCACACACAGAAGTAGTTGACCACTTCGACCAACACAGCCTGACTTACTTGTTTGGTTGTTCCTTTATTCTCATTAGAGAAGAAAGCATGGTCATCTCCAGACATGAAAGCCCTGAGGGCAATGATAAATTTACTTTTGAAGAAGAGGAAGGGGATTTGTGCCAGTATGAAATTTTAAGGTCAGAACTCTGCTGGACTAAGGTCCTTCTTCCTCTTCTCCCGACTAAATCCACACTGAAAACCTCACAGGTGGTACCAACCCCTGTGCTGACTTCAACACAAAACCTCTGGCAATGCATGTACCTGACTTCTGAGCTGGCAGAAGGTCTTATATTGGTAGACATCATTGGCTGCAGAAGTTTAGTATCAGCTTCTTTGCTCCTGCACTGTGCATTCTCACCAATGCTCCTGCATGGAGGGGTGGATTAGGGAAGGCATCTGCTGCCCTATCAGGTCTTCCTAGAGGATATTTCGCATAAAGTCAGTTATTTCTATGATTTTTTGGTGTGCAGTAGTTCAGTCATGAGGAATTCAAGCCATAGTGAATGGGTTGCTCTTGCCATCAGTCTTGTACAGATGTATATGATAGTCACACACTTGTTAGCTACAGAACATTTCAAAGCTAGGAACTCCAGCTTTCCTGGAGAAAAGCAGTGATCTTTCTTAGCTTCTTGAGACACAGTTTTTCTCTAACCTTACCTGGCTGGTATGATACTTGCCTTACTGGAAGCATCCACATGCTGGATAATGGGCACATCAAAATGGGACGGAGGTGGCCCTGATGGACAGCCAGGGGCTAGTTAAACGTTCTTTCAAATGTTTGGGGAGCAGCTCTCCAGCTCTGTTACTCCATCCTGCAGTGCTACAGTCACAAGTCATATTAATAACTTTGCTCTTTGAGGCAAATCTAGGGGAGATGCAGAAACTTAATGAACTAGTGGAGTTCCTTCTGTGGCTCCCAGTTTCCTTGCAAGGAGCTGCATGGGCTTGGTGCATCATCACCAGCACTGTCCTTTCCTGTGAATGTTCCCATGGGGGAGCAGGCTGTGCTTCCATTCCATGAAACAAAAACAAGTTCAGAACAAACAAAGGAGGTGGCTCTTCACACCAAAGCACCATTCGGGTGTGCAATGCCTTGTCCTTGAAGACCACGACTGTTAAAAGTGGATATGGGACAAATTCACAGGAAAAAATGTGCACCTGGGCCAGGGAAACGCAAAGAGCACTGGCTCCAGCCATCCTAGCACTTTATGTTCTT